TCGATAACTTTCCATCTGTCAAATTTTAGCCAAAAGGTAAAAAATCCACCAAATGGTTCAAAGCCTTAAACGCTGTACAGACTGGAGAGTTATAACATGTTATAACGGTTGTCAAATAATTGCAACACAGAAACCAGCATCAAGATAGCGCTATAACATGTTATAACTCTGTAGTCTGACCCGAGGTCTGACCGTACTATTACTCGACAACTTCCGCAATTTTTCAAGGCCGGCGCACAATGGATACGGTTTCAGATTTTTTGACAGTTAGCCCATGCATTATCTGTCAAAAAACCCAAAAACGTATGCATTGTGCGCCGGCCTTCACTCGTTTTATGATAAAATGGAGCCAATATTTACACTCTGCATTTTCTGTACACGCTTCGAAAAATATATTCACTATCAACTAAATAATTTGTAGATTCTAATAACATCCCTAATACAAGAATACCATGCCCGAATAATAACCCAAATTGGGTTCTTTAATTTTGAAAAATATATCGGTTTTTATAGGGTAAATGTTGGCTTCGGCACCCATTGACTGTTTTCGGCAACCAAAATTTAAACGTTAATTTCACTATGTTTTCCCATCAACGCACTTCCCAGAATGTGTCCAAACGATTGTTTAGCCTTTCAGCTTCAATCTGATTATATTTGAACGATCGAGCAATCCAGTAATGCTACATTTTTCTTCAAATAAAGCATACGCACTACAAAATGGGGTTGATTTCGAGTTGCCGATAATAGAACAGCTGGTTAACACGCAGTTCTAATGGGAAGGTTGCCGAAGAAAAAGAGGCTGCCGACAATAGTCACACTCACCTGAGAAGTTTGGAGCGTTGTAAAAACGCTTTCAAAACGTTTTGAAAAATTCTGTCGATTGGAATGGATAGAAAAACAAGCAGCAGATGAATGTAAACAAACAGACACATCATATATGTGCGTGACGCTGAGAAAATGCTAGTAGAAGTGCAGACGCTGCTTAGATTGACGAGAATACGTAAATTCCCCTATATCATCTGAAAGAGCTTCGTTTTCTGAGCACAGCGATATTTTTTTCGAACCCACACACTTTCATCTCGATTTTTAAATCAAGATTTAAAGCAAAATAATAACTTCACTGTTTGACACTAAACTGACAAACTGACAGCTCGCTCCCATACAAAGTGACACCGAGGGGCGCTAATAAGGTGATTTATGCAAATGTAATCGTACTTATTTAAAATAGTTCCAGTGTGCCAAAATTGATGAAATTTTGGGTTTGGGTTCTATTTTTAATGAAGATTACGAATATGCATTTACCTCAATACCCTTAAAGAACCCAATGAAGTATTTCAAAAATGGTTTGGATGATACCCTAAACACGTCGGTAAGCAAAATAACTATACAAATTTTATGAAGGATCATAATCGGTTCAACAATATATTTTTGTTAAAACACTAAAATGCGATTATTGAGTTAACAAACCAGAGGGGTTGAATTAAACAATTTTGTTGATCCAACCTAGCAAAATTGCTGTGCGTGTTGTTTGCACAAATCAGGATAAAGGGTGATACGGTCAAAATTTGGTCAAGGGAAAACGCGTGTAAATCGGTGAAATCGTTTATTTAAAAAATCAAATTAAATTTCTTTTTCAAGTTCAATTAGTATAAAATTCAGGAAAAATATTCAGTTAGGCTTCCGCTTTTCCAAATCCGAATTGCCGGGCCTTACGCTTGACCCCTGCCATCAGATTTTGTACAGCCACCTTGTCCACCTTCTTCGCCGCAGAAAGCCAGTTTGCCTTGAACTGCTGCTCGCCCTTAGCAGTTTTTTTGGTCTTCTTTAGGTTCCGCTTGACAATAGCCCAGTATTTCTCAATTGGGCGGAGCTCTGGCGTGTTGGGAGGGTTCTTGTCCTTGGGAACCACCTGCACGTTGTTGGCGGCGTACCACTCCATGGCCTTTTTACCGTAATGGCAAGATGCCAAATCCGGCCAAAACAGTACGGAACAACCGTGTTTCTTCAGGAAAGGCAGCAGACGTTTATTCAAACACTCTTTCACGTAAATTTCTTGGTTGACAGTCCCGGAAGCTATGAAAATGCTGCTTTTCAAGCCACAGGTACAGATGGCTTGCCAAACCAGATATTTCTTTGCGAACTTTGACAGTTTCATGTGCTTGAAAACATCTGCTACCTTTCCCCTTCCTTTTGCCGTATAAAACTCCTGTCCCGGAAGCTGCTTGTAGTCGGCTTTGACGAAGGTTTCGTCGTCCATTACCACGCAGTCAAACTTCGTCAGCATCGTCGTGTACAGCCTCCGGGATCGCGCTTTGGCCGTCGTATTTTGTTTATCATCGCGATTTGGAGTCACTACCTTCTTGTAAGTCGATAGTCCGGCTCGTTTTTTGGCTCGATGCACGGTTGTAGACGATACACCCAGCTTATTTGCGGCATCTCGGAGAGAGAGGTTAGGGTTTCGCTTGAAACTACCGGCAACTCTCTTTGTCGTCTCAGCGGCTTCCGGTTTTCGATTTCCCCCCGATCCAGACTTCCTGGCTGTCGACAAACGTTCCCCAAACACTTTAATTACATTTGTAACGGTTGATTTGGCAACTTTTAGCGATTTTGCCAACTTTGCGTGCGAGTAGCTCGGATTTTCGCGATGCGCGAGCAAAATTTTGATACGCTGCTCTTCTTGCTTGGACGGCATTTTGACAACTGAAGAGTGAATTCCAAAATCAAAATAGGAGCAACATTCTACACACACACACCTTCAAAATGAGGGGTGTTCAGGTTTTTTAAATGCAAAATTGAAAGAAATACGTCAAGTTGATATTGACCAAATTTTGAACGTATCACCCTTTAATAGATAAAACTTTCACAACCCAGGTGAAGTCATCCGAGGTGTAAACAAAAACAAAGGTTGCCAAAATAAAAAAAAATGCCCATAGACTTCTCTGAAGTTTGCGAAATGCACAAGTAAAACCTTTGAATTTACCCAAAGTTCAGAAACTAATACATGTGCAATTCACAAACGTCAGAGAAGCTCGCAGAGAAGTCTATAGAGATTGCTGACGTTTATCGTACGCACACTACGTCACGTATACGAATACGCAAAATGTTTTCATCGGGAAAAAAAAAACTTCATAGCGAAAAATTTTCCCGATGAAAACAAATCACTGACACAATCATGCTTTAGCAATCTCTATTGATCAGCATCATTGGCAAGCTCTGCGTAACTCTTCTATTACCAAATCTGACTTAAACGCTGTCCAGACTGGAGAGTTATAACATGTTATAACGGTTGTCAACTAATTGCAACACAGAAACCACCATCAAGATAGCGCTATAACATGCTATAACTCTGTAATCTGAACAAGGCATTAACCGAAATCAAACATTTTTCTTCAATCTTGGTACACTGGAACTAAGTGCGATTACATTAGCAAAAATAACCATCTTAGCGCCTCTCGGGGGACTTTGTATGGGAGCGAGTTGTCAATTTGTTAGTTTAATGTCAAACAGTGAAGTTATTATTTTGCTTTATATATTGAATTAAAAATCGAGATGAAAGTCTATAGGATCAAAAAAATATCATTGTGAAAAAATGATAAATTTTTCAATATTAAAAATTCATTTATTTTTTAACCAGTACTGGTGGAGAGATAACAAAATCTAGTAGATTGATTTGTTGAATTATTTAATACCCCGTTCAAATTACAGCGTATATCACGTGATATACGCTGTCTTGCAATGAGCACTCATACATCTAGTTTTCACTGGAAATCCTATGTATGAGTGCTCATTGCAAGACAGCCTATATTACGTGATATAGGCTTTAATGTGAACGGGGTATAAGTAAATTTTAGTTTGAATGATTATTTTTCGAAAATTTGATTATACGGCTTTAGGGTGAAATTGATGCATAGTTTTTTGATAGATTTTTAAAAATTGTTGCAATAGTTGTAGCTGTTTTTTTTTTTTTTTTTTATTTGTAATATCCCGTTCACATTACAGCCTATATCACGTAATATAGGCTGTCTTGCAATGAGCACTCATACATAGGATTTCCAGTGAAAACTAGATGTATGAATGCTCATTGCAAGACAGCGTATATCACGTGATATACGCAGTAATGTGAACGGGGTATAAGGTGATTCACTTTGAATCACCTTACAAATAAATAAAAAAAAAAAACGAACCTATTTTCAGTAGTTTGTTTGATCAATTTCACCCCAATGATTAATTTACCCCCGATTTACGGAAATAAACAAAACGGTTGTAGAATCAACAACAATCGTTTCGTTGGTTCAAAAATATTTGTTGGTTATTTTTTTTTTTTTTTCCTTTGGTTTTTTTTTCCGTCGATCTTGTTTTCCGTGCTGAGCACCAATGCTACCGACGTGTCAGGAAGGCAGCTCCCACACCTGGACCCTACCTATCGACCCATCAACTCATGAACCGGGGACCAACGGCTTTACTTCCCATCCGAAGGAAGGCGTGATCAGAGATGTTATGCCTCAGAACATCCCGGCGGCGCCGACTGGTATTGAACCCAGGCCTGCTGGGGTGAGAGGTAATCACGCTTACCACTACACCACCGGCGCCGTTGAATTTGTTGGTTATGTAATCCGGAAATATTTGTAAACCAATTATAAAACATTGCTAGCCGTGAGCGAGGCCGTGAGTCAACATATTTTTGCAGAATTTTCTCTGCGTGTAAAAAGAGCAGGTTATGGAGTGTTAATACAATAGAGCTAATAAACTATAGAGGAAGAATAGCGCTGCGAAACATCTTTTCCTTACATCTAATAGGGACACAACTGTCAAAGCGAGAAATAACTATGCAGTTTGACAGTTCTGTACCCGGTATTATTCAGCATCGGAACAAAAGGAGCACCAGCGCTATTCTTCCTCTATAGTATATTAGCTCTATTGTTAATACTCACCTACTCCTCTTCTAAACAACTTCACAACAATGTCATAATAACCTCTTACTGAATAATTCATTGTTTTAGGTCATCTATGTAGCTCGAAATCCATCGGATGTTGTAGTTTCTTACTATCACCTTAATAGATTATACCGCACTCAAGGTTATGTGGGTGACTTTGAAACATTTTACAACTACTTTGAAAACAATCTAAGTACGTTAGATAAAAGTTGTGTCGATAATAACACATTAATATACAGCAACTTTACATTTTAGCTCCATGGTCACCATACTGGACTCATTTAAAACAAGGATGGCAAGCACGATGTTTACCAAACGTATTATTCATGTTTTATGAAAATATGAACAAAAACTTACCAGAAACTATACGGACAGTAGCTAATTTCCTCGATAAACATTTATCTGACGAAGAATTGACCAAATTAATTGATCATTTGAGTATAGACAAGTTCAAAAATAATCCTTCCGTTAATGGAGATGATCTTAAGGCAGTAGGAATTTTAAACGACAGTACTCAGGGATTTATAAGACAAGGTAAGGTAAACTCCGCAGAGTACGAAATGACAAACGAAATAAAAGAGCGTGTCCACAAATGGACGTTATTTAACCTCAAAGATACTGATTTAAGATTTCCTTCTATGTAATTACCATTATGGGGATGTTGTTGAATTTAAATAAATTTGAATGATTGTAAAACCGAGAGTGTCTTCCCGGAAGAAATAATCATGCAATTACCATACAGTGAAATACAATCACGAAAAAATCTATTGCCAACAATTCGTCTTATTGTATGTATATCATATAAGTAAATTAAAAATATTGTCATTACAATAGATCTACAATACGTCCCATTTAGTATGAATTTACGTCAATTGGAAAACAATAGAATTAATGGTAAATGAACCAAGTTTGTTCGGGAAAAAGTGGTTTTACATACACATAGGGGAAATGGATGTAATGTTGGCCTCTAATTTGGGCCCATACATAAATTCACCAATCGACTAAATTTTCAATAGCGACCAAAAATATCCATTAGTACCGTCCCAATGACCCGTTAATCTAGATAAAATTGATAAATAGCAGATTTATAGCGATCCATAGACCAACATTAGAGCCATTTCCCTTAATAACCCCCTTGTTCTATCGGAGATTTCCCCATTTACCATACCTATTGCGGAAACAATAAATTCTATGGTTATTTTATCGTTGTGGACAAAACAATAAATTCTAATAATATATATATATATATATAATTATAATATATTTCACTGTACCTGTATGGTTCTTTTCTTCGCGGGTTTGCTGAGCATTATTATTAACAAAAGAAATGTTTTATTAGAAAGGAACAACACTACTTCTCCGACATGCAGATGATTGTAAAACATGACAATTCGATATTTCTATTGGCGTTGACGGCACCGTCGAAAAATTTTCTCTTTCAGCAAATATAGACAGTTTCTTATGAGAATTTTCGGTGGAGTGAAAGGATAGTACAAAGTCCGCCATGTTTCACGCACAGTCTGACGTTTGCTTATGGATTTTCTCATAGGAGTAAAGAGCTACAGAGTCGCCGTCAACGCCAATTGACGTAGAGCATGGACTATACACTCTAAGGGTCCTCCCTTAGCTCAGTCGGTAAAGGTGCAGCTATAAAGCAAGACCATGCTGGAGGTGGCTGGGTTCAATTCCCGGTCCGGTCTAGGAATTTTTCGGGTTGGAATAGCGAATTCGTTTATTATTCAGTTCCAACCTGGATCAGGTATCAAAATTGGGTATGCTTGTTTTCTGACAAACGTCAGTTTGCTCGTTTGTTTTTAAAACCTAGCTCAGGTTGAGGTTCACACTGACAAAAAAAAAATCGGTTTCACACTGGGTTGGAACTGGTGTTAACCCCGATAATAAACGAATTCGCTATAAGTTGAGAGCACGCAATAAGCTAATATACGATATGCACACGGCGAATGAGAACGACTCAAATTTGAGTTTAGTTCACTCATAATCGCCAAAAGTGCAGGAACTCAGCGATGAGTAAAATTTGTCTCATGGTTTCCTGTGGAAAAACCTAAAAAATCTGCCGGAAAATGAGGAAATTGACGAAAATTTTATTCAGTCTCGGAGTAGTACCAATAGACTGAGTGAATCCAATCTTTACTTTTCTCAAATTCAGGAATTTTTCCCTGGAAAATCCTGGAAAAACCTGGGAAAACATGAGGCAAATTAACTCATCGCTGAGTTCCTGCACTTTTGGCGATTATGAGTGAACTAAACTCAAATTTGAGTCGTTCTCATTCGCCGTGCAATAAGCTTGAAATGCGAAGAAGAAGAAGATGGAATATACACGCTATTCTGAATCCACCCAGTGACTGGGTGGATGGCACCCATTCTTGTATCCAGTACACACTTAATGCAGATCACCGAAGTCGGTAGGATTTTACCGGGTTTTTTTGAACAGCAGAACAAGTCGGTATAATTTTCAAATGACCGTTACACGTTAGAAATCAAGAAAATTTCTAAATTTTATTTTTCATCAATAAATGGGGTAAACTGAACAAATTCTGTACAAGTTCAGAAATTTTTTTTCTGATAATTGAGTTTTTCACTGGTTTTTAAACTTTTACCGAACAGTTCTGTAGTTCAAAATTTACCGAACGACAGAGGCCTGGATGAGTGTGTAAGGAGTTGCCAAAATCTGGGTAAACTTGTTTTGTTATGATGAGTAGAATCTACCCAGATTGTGGGTAAATTGTTGTAATCGGAATTTTCCCAAAAACAAAATGCCGCAGGTATAAAAGGGTGATTGTTGCGCTGCCAGTGAAAGTTTGAATGCTCAAAATATATAAATCTGATGCTAAAAAATGTACAGATATGGAACTGTTTTCATGGCTATAGTTAGTAAGTATATTGTTAGTTTCTGGACTTTAAACATTCTCCTAATTCTAGGTTATCGAGATATTCTGTGACGCTTTTCTCGATGCCAAATGTTTGTTGCTATTCCTAATTTATAGAACTCATTTAAAATCAAATCTCAATAAATGGTTAGCATTTGAAACGGTACAGTTTTCTGGGTATTTCAATGTCGTATTCCGTAGTTATATATTTTTACGACAATACGAACTCAACAATCAATAACAGGCTAGAGGAGCTAGCCGGGTGAGGTTATTTTTGATAGTCAATATCAACTAATTTCTATTAAAATTGTTAAAGTTTACCCTGTTATCAAATGTCAACATCTGAGTAACAGTTACTCAGTTTCTGTCGCAGATTCGTTTACCCAGATTTGGGTAAATGTATGTTTACCCATTTTTGGGTAGGTTCAGTTTTGACCGATCTGGGTGGATTCTACCCAAATTAGGGTTGTTTTTAAATAGCGTGTACTAAGATGCAAATAAAAAAAAAATTAAAGGGTTGTGTCCTATACACGACCGCAGTATGACGTAGAACCACGCAAAATTCCCCGTTCCGGATTAGTGAAACGGGACCCAAGGCTCATTCCTAATTGTGAAAAATGATCACGCCGTCCACCTTTAGCCGCTGACTTAGTCCCGACCAACCATTCGTGAAACTTCTTCAAAGTTCTTTATACAAAAATAAAGATTAATGTCGGTAATTCTTTACTTTCAAGTTTCTTTGATTTAGATGAACATATTTAAAAACCTTTATTGATCGATACTTACATTTAAGATAATTTCTTTATGGATCGCTTAATAGTAATCTATAAAGATGCCATACTAAACTTCTTCTAATTTCGATGTGTCACAAGGACTATAGTTTTCTTTATAAATATTAATGTAAAAATATTTTAATACTGATACCATCCTTACGTTGAATTTTGGCAAAGAACAATAAAGATTGCCATTGATGCACATTTATAATCTCCTTGTTATCGATTTGCATCGCCGGGTAAAGAGAGTTTGATACACACTAGATGACAAATGGCAATGTTTATATTAGTTATCGACAAATTTGGTTCTTCATCGAGGGAAGCATGATCTGCCGGAAAATTAATGGGAAGACTGATCGATGGCCACGATGATTCAAACCCAAGTAACCAAAAGTTCTGATAAAAGGCTATTTGTGGCTTAAGCAGCTTCACGCAGAAAAAATTACCGTCGAAACAAAAATATTTGAGGTAAATTTAAACGTAAATTCAGTTTGTTCTGGCCACAAACATAAACTAGGTTGATTTCAAACGTATTCTACGTTTGAATCCATTGATAATAATGTTTAAAACAAAAATAATGTTACGTTTATTTTAAAAATATTCGTGTTGAAAATAAACGTGAATATTTTTGATTTATTTGAAAACTATATGCAATCAAAAATTAATATGTTTATTTTAAACATGCTTTTCATGTTTAAAATAAACAAACATATTTTGAAATTATTTTAGCATTTGAATGCTGAATAAATCAAAATAAAATGGATAGCAAATTAATGGAAATTCCTGCGATTATGGAAAGTCTGTGGATGTTTGGATCCGGGGGGCCGTCGGGGTGGGTGTCCGATCCGATCCAGTTCAGTAAAACTGGTGAAACTTTGTGATATTAGCGTCATTTTGTCGTTTATGACGCTGGTCCTCATACCGGCCTCTTTCTACGTTTAGTGTTCGGGGATGATCTGTTTTTCTTTCGACGTCGGGTGGGGGGTGAGGATGATATGGGGATCGGTATCAGAAACGACGGATTGCCGTTAATATTGTGATGTTCCACCGGTTTTGTCGAGCTTGGAACATTGCGTGGGTTTCCGGACCCTCTACTTCGGTTTCGCCGCTTGCAGGCCGTTTTCGGTTAAGTTTGCCGAATGTAAACAAGAAGGAAAAAAGGACACGCTAAAAATTGATTACCCAGGTTATGTATTGTTGAAATAAACATGCTTTTGAATTTATTCTAAACATACATATTTTTGTTGAGAACATGTTTGTAATTTACTTTGAACTATTCATATTTTTATTTAATAAACATATATATTTTTAACTTAAATGAACAAAATTTGGTTCCGTGTTGGTTGAAGGTGGTCTATAGAATTCTAAGCAGCCTCATTTTTAAGTCGTTATTAGAACTTGAAAGTTCCGGTACCATAATTGAAGAGCATTCTAAGCAGTCTCTGGCGGAACTTGAACGGAACTTTTAGAAAATAAATTAAAAAAGGTTTTTGTCATCTACACCAATTCTATATTTAAGTTCACTTTTTATGAAAGTTATTTCTAAAGACAGGTATTTATGTGTATTCATTTATCAGCATTAGTAGTAGTAACGTAGTTAACGTAGTAGTTTGAAGAATTAAACCCAGTCCTTCTGCGTGAGAGCCTCAGCACGAACCGCTACGTCATCTGAAATATATTAAAATGAGCTGTTGTCCCGCCTATTGTTGGAGTTTTCTGAGCCAGCTGACTGACTTGAATACGAAACACAACACCTTGATGAATTTTAAGTTGGGTTTACCCGCATGGTATTCCATCACACTTGTGGCGCAGTGGTTAGCAATCGTAGATCGCATGTCGAATACACGGGTTCAAATCCAGGAAATTACTTTTTAATTTTTTATATGTTTGGATTTATTCGGGGCACTGATCATTTCATATTTACGTACAATAAATTTTGTTACTAATAAAGACTTATGCGAATTGCTTCATGTGGCTTGAAAGTTTTGTCGGAACTTTATTTGAACTTTATGGAACTTGAAAGTTCTGTCAGAACTTTATTCGAACTTTATGGAACTTGAATGTTCTGTCGGAACTTTATTTGAACTTTATGGAACTTGAAGGTTCTGTCGGAACTTTATTTGAACTTTATGGAACTTGAAAGTTCTGCCAGGACTTTATTCGAACTTGATGGAACTTGAAAGTTCTGTCGGAACTTTATTTAAACTTTATGGAACTTGGAAGTGATTTTAATTGTTGAATGCGGAACTTTTGGTTACCTGGGAATGTTTTTTTTTTCCCTTTGGTTTGTTTTTTTCCGTCGATCTTGTTTTCCGTGCTGAGCACCAATGCTACCGACGTGCCAGGAAGGCAGCTCCCACACCTGGACCCTACCTATCGACCCATCAACTCATGAACCGGGGACCAACGGCTTTACTTCCCAT